CACATTGTACGAGATCAGAAGTCTGTGAACGGATTTTAAGCTGCGACGTGCAATTTTTGGAATTAGAAACCTATTGGATTGTGACTATAATTAATCCAGTTGGTATTTAGAATATTTTAGGCTATTTGTGGATCAAGATTAAAGAAGTTGTATTCAAGACAACTTCTACTCACATATTTCTACTAGGGTTGTGTTTGGAGAAGCCTACATAAAAAGACCCTTGAGAATTCCTTAGGGCAATTGAAAGGGAAAAACAGAATATACATTGAGGTAGAGCGTTCCCGTCGTATCTTGAGCTTTCCTTGCGTGAAGAAAGTTACAATATACATGAAAGAGGATGCCCTACAACGAAAAATAAATCTTGACAACTAGGAAATGAACTAAAGCTTAAAAAGAGGGCTGATAACACGCTTGTCCCTATGATCTTGATGGAGATGTGATAGCCAAAGCGGATCTGAACATGGTTCATGTTAGAAATCCTAGATTAAAAGTTTTTTCATAATAATTTGGAAAAGTGTGTCTCATTATATTGCAATGTACCGGTGTAACTTGCATCTAGTGATTTAGCGGAAGGCTATTACACAAACGTGAGCCCTGCATAGTAGGAGAGTTTATCCGAACTGCGTAAACATATATGATGTTCTTTTTAACGCATTTTATCGTTACAGCATTCTGCGCAATAAGCTCTGTAACACTCTCTGCATCATCTGTTTCTGTGTGTGCTCCTGACGAATAAAGTGTTATGACACACTGTCTGTCATCTATTATTACTCTCGCAATGCTGCTGCAGCTTCTTAGCAGCATAGTTGATTGGTTTGTTTGCAAAATGTCCAATTGGTAATTTCTGCTGCCCCAACGAACTTTCAGGCTCTACATGTCTCACGACTCATGTCACGATTGCCTACTCGGGAGCAAAAGCATGTGTGGGGCCACTAATTAAGAGCACGACCACCTCGTTGATTCCGTCCGCGCCCACACCCCCACCTCGTCCATAATTCGAAGGAAAACCAACCAATACGTAGCAAGTGTCTTCGTTATGATTGATTTATCCACAATGGAAAAATTATTTGCGTGATTGGGGGGGCAGGGGCGATGTGCAGCAAAGGCTAATGTGTTTATACGATCATCGCGACCACGGGTGATAGTGCGATGATGTTTTTCCTATAACATTACAGAAAAGAAGGCGTTATCTTAATCACGCACATGACCTGTTTCAAGAATCCGATGTCAAACACTACTAAATTGTTCATCAACAAGACCTAAGAGAAAATCAATTGTATTTTCAAGCTTTGAACAAACACGAGTAACAACTGCAGTAGCACAAATACACCCTTAGGTAGGATTAGTAGATCCGTAAAGCTTATTCTAGAGAGTGACAAACTAATCATATATCTCTATCTCTATATATATAAATTTGAGAGTTAATCTCCTAGAATTGCGAGAAGTGACGAATCTATGTGGCAACATTTTAACAAATCATCTGCCACTTATTAACGATAGAATGATGTGACAATTTTTATTAAAATATGGGTAGATCCAATTTAAATTGTATACGAAGTATATGTCTTATATAGAGTGTTGCTATAATTTTTTGGAAAAAAAATACTCTGTACCAGAATAGGAATAAACATGAAGAAAATACCAAACTAAAAATACATATTTTTTATCTCCAAAATAGGAAATACCAAACATTACGAGATTCTTTAATTTCCAAAAGAAGTTATTAGCAATGCATTTCTATCGAAAGACAATGTTTGTTCTATATATGGAGTTTAAAGTATACAAATTTGACAAGAAAAGTCAATTGAGAAAATCAAATCCAAACACAGAGGAAATAAATATCAAAAGACAATGTTTGTTCTATATATCAAGGTGTGGAGGGGGGCGTGAGAAGATTTGTGACAATGAAGATTTAGGATAATAAAAAACGTAAGAAAAATTGTGCAGAAAATCCAAGGTGCAATAAGTAATAAGTTTGAGACTCACTTACAGGTTACAACCACATCAAAGAAAATATAATTTCCAATTTGTAACTATTTGTATTTTGATAGAACATTTTATATCTTGACCAGAATACTATTCCGACAAAATCATTGGAGCACTAACATTTTAATGTTTTTTAAAATTAATGTGGGGGAGAAGAATAATTGATTCTTAATATTTTAAAATTGAAAATTTTAATCATATATATTTAGGATCACTAATTTATGATTTTGTTTTTAATAATGCAAGAAAGAATAATATTTTTTTATAATCATTGCAGGGGTAGTTGGGATTATGGATGAGAAGAATCCCGTTTCTTACTCCCTCCGTTCGGAAATATTCTTCTCATTTGACATTTGATATTTGACTAATATCTTTATTTATACATAGATATATTTTATAAAAATTTGATATTTGAAAACTATATTTCAAAATGAATATATTCATATTAAAGTTATATCGTAATACAATGTATTTTTTCCACATATCATATTCAAAGTTTACAAACTTTGACCAAAAAAGTCAAATGATAAGAATATTTCCGGACGGAGGGAGTAATTACTACCTCTGTCCCTGAGTATTTGACCAGTTTGACTTTTTCCAATTAACTTTTTTCAATATTTGACTTATAATTAAATAAAATATATGTTATATATTAAGCAGATAAAATAATATTTTGAAAATGAATGATATAATAAATCAAATAAAACTAATTTTGTATCAATATCCAATATCATTTTTATTTAATTTGAGGCCAAAATTTACCAATTTTGACCAAAAAAGTCAAAAGTGGACAAATACTCTGAAACAGAGGGAGTATATAATTATAAGGTTGTTAATTTAGGTTTTTTAAATAAACATGAGGAAAAAGAATCATAGGATCACCAATACTTTTTGTGTTAATATATTTTTGAATTTATACATAGAGAAAAATTATAGATTTGTAGAAATACATCAAACCTAGATCATTTATAAATAAAAACCAAGATCTATATTCTAGAATCGAAAAAGAATTCGCCCAAACCCGTGCGTGGCACGGGTAGAAATACTAGTATATTTACATGAATATTAAACTTGATATATAATCATTATTTTCTTTTTATTTTTTTTAAATCTTACTAATTTCTAACTAAAATAATCATTATTTTTTATTATATTTTAATCATTGTAACACATGTTTTAAATACAAAGCATTCAATCATTATTTAAAAATGTTATAAATTAAATATTTATAATTTTTAAAAATAAAATTACTTATAAATTTTTGAACCTATACACCATTTATTTTATTACGTTTATATACATATTCACCTTCATTTTTTAAAATATGTATTTCCATTTTAATTTAATCATAGATTTTTTAAACAAACTACATTATTTATGTTATTTTATTTTTTATGAAATAAAATTTTAAGAGTTTTTTTTGTAAAGGAAAACGTCATATGTGTTCCATACAACACGTGTGATGCCACACATGTGCATTAAAATTTAAGTGTGACTTTTGACTAAATTAATTAAAAATATAATATAAACTTAGTTGTTTGCTGATTACAACATCTAAAAGATAAAATGAAATGGAAGAAAAGAGAGCTTGGTTTGACAATGATTATGTGTATTACTTGATGAATATTAATTATATTGGCCAAATAAATTAAATTTAGACTCTTAACTAACAAATTAGGTCAAAATATTGTACGAAAATGTTGAATTTAATAGTGTAAGTTTTATTTTTCTCAAAAATATTTGAAATCCGAAAATTCACGTGAACCGGCCTATATATATATATATATATATATATATATATATATATATATATATATATATATATAGAGAGAGAGAGAGAGAGAGAAATGACTTAAGTTTTAGTGCTATTTAGTGCAAATATTTCTATATATATATAGTCATTATATATTGACTAAAAGTGTTACATTGAGAAAAAAACATATGTAGTGTTATTCAAGGAAAGTCATTATGTTGTAGTGCTATTTAGTTAAATTCCTTATATATATATATATATATATATATATATATATATATATATATATATATATATATATATATAAATATTTGCACTAAATAGCACTAAAACTTAAGTCATTTCTCTAAATAGCACTTAGATTGTTTTCTTCCCTAAATAGCACTTTATAATGTCCATAATGACCAGTGATAGCAAACATTTACTTGAATAATGACTAATGGATAATGACTAAAAGTGCTACATTGAAAAAAAAGATATGTAGTGCTATTCAAGGAAGGTCATTATGTTATAGTGCTATTTAGGTAAATTCCTCATATATATATATATAGTATTTCCTCCATCCAGATTTAATCTTCTCATTTGATTTTTTACTTTCTCAAATGTAATAGTTTGACCGTTAAGTTAATATTTATAGATAGATATATTTTATTTAAAAGATTAATTTTTCAAAACTAAGTTTTAGAAGAAAACTATTGATATTATATTTATATTTAAACACAATGTATTTTTTTGGCACATAGAGAGATAAAACTTTACAAACTTCAATTAAGAACAGTCAAATGAAAAGATTAAATCTAGATAGAGGGAGCACAATATATTTCTGTATTCAATAATAACTGTCAATCAACATTTTCTAAATACGTTAAGAAATGAATGAATATAAAGATACTTTACGTCTACATTTATCACCTTTTCATTGTACTAGGTATTATTGATACGACTAATTAATATAGAAATGAGGTAATATTGTAATGGAACTAAAGAATCGGATTATTGTGCTCACAGAAATTTTCTTTATGAATTCAAACTTTTTGTCACACTCCTGGAGAATATCTTTGAAAAATAGGACTGAGTATTTATCCAATCCCGACCTTCCATGGCACCTTCCTCGATCTTTTTTGTCTGGTTTTGGTCCCCTTCTTTTCTTTTCAAGTTTCATATACTGCATATTGAGTATATATACGGAGTATATATGTATGTATATATATATATATATACACGAGTGTATATATACGCATTTGAATATCAGTCCTGGTCGCACGTTCTGAGGCGTTTATAGTCAATAAGAGCTCAAATTAATCAAAGCTCTCATTTCCCTCAGTCAAAATTCAGCTCCGCCGTCTTCTGTTCTCTCTGTTCCTTCTGTCAGCTCCGCCATGGCTTCACCTCTTGAAGGTACCTATCGTTATTGTTGTTGTTGTTGTTGTTGTTGTTGTTGTTGTTGTTGAAGTTCGGGTCGGGTTTTCATATGATTTTAGGTTTTTGAAATCCAATTTTATTTATTTTTTGGGTTAGATATAATTAAAAGCAGAGATGAATCTTTTAGGATGAGAGGATGAAGTCCATCCCTTGTATGGTGTCTGAGTTATGATTAATTTTCTTAGTTTGGTAAAGTATAATGTTTGAGTTTTGGTTGTTTTGATTCATTGAAATGGTAGGCTGAACGAGTTCAAACCTCACCGCTATCCAGTTTCAAGAGATTGATGATAGCTTAGAGAACTCGAGCAAAAATGGGCCGGGATCCTCTGTCCCTAAATCGTGTCCCAACTCCCTGTCCCACCAATCCTTAGTCCCCAAATTTTATTTTTTGGTTGAATATGTTCTTAGACTTTGTTGGGACTCTAAGTCTCCAACCACACACAATTGAGCTTTTGATGGAGCTAGTTCTTAATGTGGATTTATGTGTATAATTGCAAATTTGGATTGAGGATGGGGGTGCAAGAAATTATTCATTCAAAGATAACTAGTCTCGTATTGTCATCGATTTTTGTTTTGTTTTGTTTTAATTAGTCATTAAGTGTGAGTTGATGTATATGCAGAAGGTGGGATAGACTTGGAGAAGCATTTATTCAGTCCAAGAGCCAGCAGCCAGAACCATCATCCTTTGGCTGACCCCTCGCCGGCCCCATCTCCTTCAACAAGAACACCAGCTCTCGTGTTTTCCAACTCCGGGAAGAGAATAGACCAAACGGGGAAAAAGAAATATGTGAAGCAAGTGACGGGAAGGTACAACGACACTTCACTTCACTTGGCAGCTCAAGACGGCGACCTTGCCGCGGTGAAGCGAATACTTGATGACATCGATTCCCAAACGATGGGCTCGCTGAGTGGAGCTGAGTTTGACAATGAGGTTGCGAAGATCAGATCGTTCGTAGTGAATGAGGTGAATGAGTTGGGAGAGACGGCATTGTTCACTGCAGCTGAGAGGGGGAATCTTGAGGTGGTGAAGGAGTTGTTGAAGTATTCTAATCAAGAAACTCTTACTAAGAAGAATAGATCCCTGCTTGATCCTCTCCATGTTGCTGCAAGCCAGGGACACCATGGTAACGATTCTTTTTAGCTTCTTCTTTGCTTGGTTTTTTTGAGTATTATTCCATGTTAATTACCTTTCTGCTTATGGGTTGTTCAATGGAAGATTACGAAATCACCAGCTGATTGTTTGGATTTAGTGCTCGTTTGGTAGCGTGATTGTTCTGCTTATGTGCCTTATCTACCACATTTTCTTAACAAGTGCAAACTTTGTTTGACCAAAAACTAACATAGTGATTGCTATGTCATTGAGGATATGATCTTAGATAGGAGCGATATGATCTTCGTATTCTCCCCCCCCCCCTCCTCCGCCCCACGACCATATTTCCAAAAAGGCAAAAAGGGTATGGGGAAAATGTGTGTACAAAGACTTTGTCCTTAACTATGAAGTAGAAAGGATGTTTCCAAGAGACTAGTGGGAAAAGAATCTATCTCAAATACAAATACTAGTATATTTTTAGATAATTGACCATTTTTAGGAAATTTGGACATTTGAGACACAATATCAGCAAATAAGCATATTCCTCCACTTCATCCAAATCTCAGCCTTACTCTAAGCATCTTTAAAAGTAGTTATCTTTTTATTGCAGCTGTCGTGCAAGTGTTACTGGACCATGATCCCGAACTGAGTAAAACCGTGGGCCCCTCAAACGCGACTCCTCTCATAACAGCAGCATCAAGAGGGCACACTTCGGTGGTCAACGAATTGCTTGCCAAGGATTGCACCTTGGTTGAGATTTTCAGGTCGAATGGGAAGAACGCATTGCATTTAGCTGCGAGACATGGACACTTGGACATTGTCAAGGCCTTGCTCGGAAAAGACCCACAGTTGGCGCGTAGGACAGATAAGAAAGGGCAGACAGCACTTCATATGGCCGTGAAAGGCGTCAACTGTGACGTGGTGAAGCTGCTGCTTGACGTTGATGCTGCCATTGTTATGCTGCCTGATAAAAACGGAAATACGGCTTTACATGTGGCCACAAGGAAAAAACGCGTCGAGGTATAAAAAACATTCCTGGGGCTATAACCACAAACTTGAATTTGTGGTTAGATTGGTTCTTTAACATGGTATCAGAACAAATTTTCTCACCTAGTTTTAAAAAAATTAATGTTCACGTGCAAAGCTCAAGCAAGAACACAACTTTCTTTACGAAATGCTAGGACTTCCCCACTTTGTTGTTTGGAGTAGATTGTATGAGTGCTCATTTTGAAATTCTCTTCCTTGCAGATAGTGAATGAGTTGCTTCAGTTGCCTGACATGAATGCCAATGCACTAACCAGAGATCATAAAACAGCACTTGACATTGCAGAAGCTCTTCCCCTGTCTGAAGACTCCTCTGAAATAAAGGAATGCCTGCGTCGCTTCGGTGCTCTACGTGCCAATGATCTGAACCAACCAAGAGACGAACTAAGGAAATCCGTGGCACAAATCAAGAACGACATCCACACGCAACTCGAACAGGCCAAGAGGACGGACAAGAACGTGTACGGGATCGCCAAGGAGATCCGGAAGCTCCACCGCGAGGGGATCAACAACGCCACCAACTCCGTCACCGTGGTGGCCGTGCTCTTCGCGACGGTCGCCTTCGCCGCCATCTTCACCGTCCCCGGCGGGGACCGCGACAACGGGGTGGCGGTGGTGGTGGGCCACGCGTCTTTCAAGATCTTCTTCGTCTTCAACGCCGTCGCGCTCTTCACGTCCCTCGCAGTGGTCGTGGTCCAGATCACGCTGGTGAGGGGCGAGACGAAGGCGGAGAAGAGGGTGGTGAAGGTGATCAACAAGCTGATGTGGTTGGCCTCGGTGTGCACCTCGGTGGCGTTCATGGCGTCGTCGTACATTGTCGTGGGACGGAAGCACGAGTGGGCCGCGGTTTTGGTCACACTTGTGGGAGGGATCATAATGGTTGGGGTGCTAGGAACCATGACTTTCTATGTGCTCAAGTCAAGGAGAGCACACTCCATGAAGAAAAGGGTGAAGCAGAGTCTCTCCCACTCATGGCATCACTCTGACATCTCTGACACTGATATGGAGAAGATTTATGCTCTTTGAGGTGTAAATGGGTATTTTCGTCCATCGATTTATTCAAGAATGTATAAATGAGATATAAATATGATAAATATTATGAACATGTCACACATTAATGTTTCCGTGGAAACATAAAGAAATCCATTTAAATAAGACTAATTTAGATATATTTCATCACAATTTGAGACTAATTGATACAGAATATTATATTTCGTCTAGTTTGGGTAAAAAATCATCATGACAAAGTAAGGCGTAGTAGGAATTTTAGGGTGTTTAACTTGACAAAGTAGCGGATCGTTAACTTCTAACTGTAGAATTGATGGAATACACTTTCGGAATACATTATCACAAATTTCAAGTGTCCTTGAAGTTATTTTAGATAATATGGTAATCTGAAAGTTCATACGAAAAAATAGAGGGTATCTCAAAAGTATGTTTTGCCCAAATGATATTTTGAGTTTAGATATAAATATGATAAATATTATGAACACGTCACACATTAATATTTCTGTGTCCATCTAAATAAGACTAATTTAGATATATTTCATCACAATTTGAGACTAATTGATGCAGAGTATTATAATTCGTCTAGTTTGACTCGAAAAAAGTCAAATTCGATGAATATAATATTTATGTTTTTTTAACTATGCATAATGTTGATTCTAACTTATAAGTTAGAATAATTGTGGATAAAATCAGTTAGAATTAATTAGACTATTAGGTTGATTTTACTTTTTATTTTTATCCAAATCCTTAAATAAAATGAACTGAAAAAATAATTAATTTTGTTTCATTTTGTGGAATCTTTTTTAGGGGGAGAGTATAAATGTATAATTATAAATGGGTCGGTTCAATAATCCAACAGCATAATCCTAGAATATGTAGGGCAAAAGTGATATAGCACCTAATATAGTTTTTATTCAATAATCTTAAAATGGAAGCTTTATGAAATGATGTCTTCATAATTAATCCTCACAGCCCAATTAAGTCTTTTTCGAGCTCTAAAATTATCCTCCACTAATGCAATAATGCATGTGCATATCAAATGTCAACGAGCAACATTTTCTGAGTTCTAAAAATATTTACTTCCTTCCAAAATATTTTCTACATTAGTAACATCACGTAACTACGTAAGACAAAATAAATTTTCAAGTTTTTTCAAATAATTTTGTTTAAAGATTTGTATAGAAATATAAAATAAAATTTACGTATTTAAAAACTACGTCAAAAGTTATTTAAAAAAGAGGCGATAAGAATATTACTACGTATGTTTTATCAAATAAACGAAAAAAACATACTACCTCCGTTTCTCAAAAGAGTTCCTCTTTTGACTTTGGGGGAAATAAGGAAGTGTTAAATTGTAGTTGACTTTCCAATTTTGCCCTTGATGTGATGGGTAAAAGTAAGATGTGATAGTTTAGTTAGTGAAAAAGTATGATGTGATAGGTAGGGTATGAAAAAGTAGGGGTAAAAGTGGTTTTTTAATAGAAAGGGGAAGTGTTTTAAGAAAAACAAAAAAAATGAAAGAGGAAGAATTTTAAGAAACGGAGGGAGTACAAATTAACAAAAATTCTGAAATTTTTGAATATTGATGAACTATGATTTTTTTTGGACAGAGGGATTATGATATTTTTGAGGTGGAAAATGTTATTTTAATTACAAGGATGATATCATGTTTCCTATTAGTGAAATACACATTTTTGTAATTTAAAAAAGAACACGGGTGCATTGTACACCCGTGTAATTTTTTAAATAAAAAAGAATTTGAAATTTCTCACGGCACAAATCTGTGACAAAATTTGAATTTTGAAAATTATGCAATGTTTTTGTCACGTCATTTATATGTGACATTTGTTTTGTCAAAGATCGATTTGTGACAAAAACATAACGGTTAAGTGCGCTAGTGTTATTATGTCACGGGCGCGCTACATGACAATTCTGTGACAATGTTTCGTTGTGATTCGTTGTTTAAATTATCTATTAATGTTAGAAGTATACCAAACAATGTATCCCGGCCCATTTGTAAACCAAGGCTTTTATAAAGATACCAAGGCACTCAATGTCTAGACATGTACATGCAATAAGTGTGTGTATGCATCTAGAAAAACTTTGGTGTACAAATAAAATACACGATTTGGTATATATATACCTCCAACATTATCCTTAATTAAATAATTGTTTAAAGTACTTGTTCAAGCTCTTGGTTTCAACACATACATCATCAAAATCATGTGTATGGGTATTACCATAGTGACATTATAATTGAAATTTGTAATAAAAAAACCACTAACAATGGAGCCCCATGCATGTTTGTTTGCAAGGTAGGGGAAGAAATAGAAACTGAGCTCTTTTTGAATTTGTTAAAAAAATGTAAGAAAGGTAATCCAAATATTTTGCTTCAATTTCCTCATTTCTTTCCTCTCCAAATCAATCTGTCTTCAGCTCTTCTTCATCTTCGTCCGTCAAATTTTACTTCCTCTTCTCGTTAAATAATACTCCGTAATAAAAAATTTAACTAAAATAAATAAAATAAAAAATAAATAAAAAAATCAAATAAAAACTAAGAAATAAAAATTAAAAAATAATAACAAATTAAATCAGAATAAAAATTAAATTTAAAAATAAAAAATAGAAATTAACAATGATAATGATGATGATAATAATAATAATAATAATATGGAGTAACAATTGATATAATTATTACTATTATTATTATGGTATTAATAATAATTATTATTATTCTTTTTCTTAATCGTATTATAAAAAATAGAAAATAAATTCAATAATAAACAGTATAGAAAATAATAATAACAAAAATAAAAACTAAATACATAAACAAAAATTCAAGATGTAAATGAATTAATTAATATAAAATAAATAATAGATACATACGGAGTAATAAATAACAAGTTTAAAACTAAATATTGAACATTAAAAATTTAAATACAATTAAAGCTTTCATTCCTTTCTCCCAATAGAAAATAGGATATGATGACATATAAAATTGAGACTCGCCAACAGAAATGGACCCATATATTTCGTAGGATCAATTTAAACACCTTTGTTAAAAAAATCGTATGAAACGAACTAGGCCTATATTAAGCGCAAAAGTACAGTTGTTGAGATCTGTTGGATCATTTGTGCTCTAGACTTAATTATATTTATGATTATGTAATTTAAAAAATTATAAACTTAATATCGGAGTATGTTTTAAAATTATATTTCAAATTGAATCTAGTACGTGCATTAACGTTAAATTGTAAACTACCCCGTAATAATTTAGACTATGAGGTATGGGACGGAACAAACAATGTGGCACCCGATACCAGCTGGAACACCACTCTCTGCGGAGAACGGGATGAATGGCATGGTCATCCGGGTCCCACGTGGTCGTTCTTCTTTTTTCTTTCAACTTCTTATTTTCTTCTTGTGTTGTTTGTCTCTCAGACGGATCGGCAACCACGCCTCATGTGTGGGAGATGGAGCAATGGGGCCGAGGTTGCCGGCGTCTGAGAGTGGTGGCCGGTCGGGAGGGCGGCCTCGATACGCATTTATCAATTTTTGTGGCCAAAAATTAATTTGTAAAATTTATTTTTTGTGGTTGAAGGAATACTATTTTTATTTTTTCTAATCAAATGCCGTACAAAAGGGCCCACTTATCTCCGGCGTTCAAATCTTGGTTGCTCGAAGTCGGTAGAAAAGTTGAAAACGCGTGGTGAGTTGCGTTGATAATTGATATATCCATTTGAGTATGGTTTTTATATTAGGAAATCTCTCTTGCTAAGACTAAAAAAGTATAATTATTATATAAAAATATCAAATTAGTTTTTAAGACCAAAACAGAAATATACTAACGGTGTCATAGTTAAGTGATGACAATATGATCACTCAACTCGTAGTCCGTGGATCACCGGTCAACATCGTCGGCTAACAGCGGCAACACACTAATGGTCAATGGCGACATATGAAAGTGTGATTATTGCAGTGTGAAAATGTGGTAAGTGAGATACTATAACAATAACAATGTGAGTTCTTATTCTAGTTCTTATTGGTGTTGTCAAAGTTTTATTTATTCTTATACACGAAGTTATCTCTATTATATTCCATCTACCCTTAAATTATCATCTTATTAGATGGTGATGGTGTAAATTAACTAACAGACAAACTGTACTAAATCGGGTCTAGAATAGTTTGCTGAGTCTAGAGAATGAAAATTGCAGAAAGATAAGGAGTTTTTGATAGGACTATAGATGGAAACACTAGTCCAATTATTATTAACTTATTAAGTATGTAGGAGAGTGTTGTGAGCTATTACAATATGAACTCTAGATAGATAAAATTAAGATTTCTTCATTTGAGGGTTACAGAGGTATTTATAATGAAATGGAGGGGACAAGGCGCCACACGTCCACATCAGCCTATGTTCTCAGACGGCGCGTGGTGACTTCCTTTTGTTTCGTAGTGTTTTGTCTTATTCCCCTGTCTTCTTGTGTTGATGACTCCTCCTTTGGCGCGTAGCGCCCATATGAGAATGAGGGAATATTTCCCTAACCTTTCGTTGAAACCGGTCTTTACCGTCCAACCATTTTGGGAGCTATTCGTACCGACACTTTTACACCATAGTAATCTACGCGATAGGTTTACCTCTTGTCTGTGTTCTGAAGGGGCAGAAGACCACAAGCTTGAAGTCGCGTACTTTGATTGGTAGGTCTTAAGTTTGTACCGGTCGAGATTGATTGATCAGATTCTGTGGACTCGGACCCGGACTTGGACCGAGTTTTGGGTGGGATACACCTATCAGATGCTTTTTATAGTTTTTCAATAATTTTTTTATATATATTTTCAGTAATAATTTAATAAAATAAATTTTTTGTAAAACTTTTAATATAATTTGCAAATAAATACTCGGTAATTTTAATTTTTCATTCCCATACCAATTTCTAAAAAAGTGAGATCATAACAACCTTCTAACAAACGAAATCATCCAAATTTTTTGACAATGCAGGCGAGAAAAATCATCCCAACTTTTTTGACAATGAAGGCGAGACAACTGTGACTGTGTCATTAATGGCGCTGTCTTTTCACAGGGGATTCCAAACAAACTCCCTACTTTCCGAGTAAAAGTACGGATATATATATATATATATATATATATATATATATATATATATATATATATATATATATACACTTCAAAAAAAAGAAAAAGAAAAAGAAAAGAAAAATACGGTACTGTAAACTACTCAAGCCAATCAATCAACTTAAGATAACCATGTCATCTTCTTCATGTAAAGATTTGACCTTTGACTCCTCCATCTCTCTTTCTTCTTCTTTTCCTTCAATGCCATAGCTCCAAGGTTTGATTTTTTTCTCTTCTTCTTTTTAGCAGAGCCTAGGGTGGCATCTTTCTTGATCTTTGTTTATTACTGATGTTATAGCGTGCTTGAATTCTTTGATTTGGATTTCGCTGTTACGGCTGCGTGTTTCTGCTAGAGTTAAAACCATGCCCAATTTGTTGTTCTTGGTTTTGCCCATATGGTGTTTGATATTTGTCTCCTCAGAACTTGACCCTGTGGATAACTATCTGATAAACTGCGGATCATCTGAAAACACAACCGTGGGTGCCCGGGTTTTCTTTGCTGACCAATTGAATTCCACCATTCTTTCAACCCCAGGCGAGATTTTCGCCAAAGCAAGCTCAGATCTTCTAGTTCCATTTCCCTTCAACTACATTTCTCCTCTTTATCAGACTGCAAGGGTTCTCAATGGAACCTCTGAGTTCATTTTTCCAATCAAGAAACGTGGCCGGCACTGGCTACGCCTGCATTTTTTCCCGTTCGTTCAAGAAAACCGTAACCTAACGTCTGCTAGATTTTCTGTTTCAGCCCAGAATTTCACTCTCTTGACAAACTTCCAGCCTTCAAATGCCTCCCCACTTAAGGAGTATTCCTTGAACATAAGTAGCAACCAGCTGGTTCTTGTTTTTACCCATGCTGCCAATTCATTTTCTTTCATTAATGCCCTGGAAGTGATTTCACTTCCTGATGAGGTCATACCTGCTGGTGCTGGATTGAACACCCCAGAAGGAAGTGTGCAAGATCTAAGGGCACATGCCCTGGAGACTGTTATGAGGGTAAACATGGGAAATGTAACAATTCCCCCTCAAAATGATACCTTGGGGAGGTTATGGTTTCCTGATGCTAGATTTCTTAAGAGCAGTTTGTAACAAAGCAAGAAGGCCTAAATTATTCTGCGGGAGGGGAGACAGAAAATATTGCTCCTCCTCTTGTGTATGAATCTGTTACCAGATTGAAGCAGGTGGATTTTAGCATTCGGTTTAACGCCACATGGCAGTTCGATGTGGATCCTGGCTTCGAGTATCTAATCCGGTTCCACTTCTGCGATATTGTTAGCGATTCTTCTAATGAACTCTTGTTCAACGTTTTCGTCAATTCTCTCATTGTTTCTGCACATCTTGACCTCAAAAAAAAAACCTCAAAGGTCATTTATGCTCCTTACCACATGGATGTTGTGAAAAGGCTAGTCACTAGTGGTGATCTAAGTGTAACGATTGGCCCATCTGAGATGCGCAATGTGTTACCAGATGGAATCCTTAACGGGCTGGAGATCATGAAAATAAGCAATTCCAAGAACAGTCTTGTGGCCGAAATCCTGTTCTCGAAAACTAGTTCCAAGTCTAAAAGATGGGTGGTGATTGGATCGGGATTTGGAGCAGTCTGTTTAGTTGGTTTGGCTTTGGCATCTATTTTGGTTCATCGACGTAGAAGAAGAAGGGCAGTTATCGAATTGAGTAAATATTCTGAAGAACCGTCTTCCGTTTTGAATTCCAAGACCGGGTATCTCATCCCTTTTAAGGCAGTTCAAGAGGCTACAGACAATTTCTGTGAAGAGATGATTATTGGCATTGGTGGTTTTGGAAAGGTTTACAAGGGAATGTTGAAAGACGGCACGAAAGTGGCTGTCAAAAGAGGAAACCGTCATTCAAACCAAGGGTTATCTGAGTTCATGACTGAGATAGAAATGCTCTCTAAATTCAGACACCGGCATCTGGTGTCCTTGATAGGGTACTGCAACGAAATGAATGAGATGATCATAATTTATGAGTACATGGCGAATGGAGCGCTGAAGAATCATTTATACGGGTCAGAACATCTCCTTCCTAAGTTGAACTGGAGACAAAGGCTTGAAATCTGCATTGGATCTGCAAGAGGGCTTCACTATCTCCACACGGGTTCCGAGAAGGCTATCATCCATCGCGATGTAAAGTCAGCTAACATATTGCTCGACGAGAACCTCATGGCCAAAGTCGCGGATTTCGGGCTGTCAAAAGACGGGCCCGAAATGGACCAGACACATGTCAGCACAGCAGTGAAAGGGAGTTTCGGGTATCTTGATCCCGAGTACCTGACACGTCAGCAGCTGACCGAGAAGTCGGATGTTTACTCCTTTGGAGTCGTCATGCTCGAGATCCTGTCGGGAAGGCCCGTCATTGACCCGTCCCGGCCCAAAGAAACGGCAAACCTGATAGAATGGGCAATGAAAGAGATGAAGAGAGGGGAGTTGGAAACCATTCTTGATCCTCACATCAAGGAAGGGCTAAAAATGGAGTCTTTACAGAAGTTTGCAGAGACAGTGGAGAAGTGCTTGGCGGAATGTGGGCCCGACCGTCCCACAATGGGAGAGGTCCTATGGAACTTGGAGTGTGCCCTTCAGCTCCAAGGCAGAGAAGATAAAAGAACTGGGGAGGGTACCCCAAGCACCCCTCCCGACGATATCAGCACCTGTACGACTCCGTTCAGCGTTGCGAGTATGGGTGATCTTGAAGGCGTTTCCATGAGTAGAGCTTTCTCCCAAATGGTAAAGTCTGATGTGAAAGATTTGAGTGACAAGATATGAAAGTGTATATATACATTTTTTTTAAATCTTGGATTTGTATACTCTGTGACTCATTAAGAGATCTGAAAGCATGCTGGATTTTTTAAGATTCTTCTGTTATTTTAGTTACCTGAGAAACTATCTTTGCTGAATGTTTGGTCTGTTGTATATCTATATATGTATTCGTTGGTTATATATAGTTCATGTTTACCTACATGAGAATCTGATTGATTGACAAATGAGTTTTGGATTAATTTCTTAGGGGACTATTTAAGAATCTAGTTGACAAATAAGTTTTGTGCTTATCTTTTATGAGACTATTATGAGTGAAATCTTAAAGATATATTCTCTTAAAACTATTAGAGAATAAGAGATACTCCTATTAAGGGGCATCCTCAAATATACTAACACCTCCAAAAATGCAACCTTAAGAATGCTAGAACATTCCAAAGTGCACCCACTACATATTTTCTTTCTAAAACTTAGGGGGTGTGTTTGATGAGCAAAATAAATATGAGTTCTCATATTTTAAGATATCAGAACTTTTATTGGTATTTGGTGAAGGCAAAAGAGATTTCAAATTTTATCTCTAGATATTATAAATCCACCAGATAGAAGGTTTTGATATCTCACGAATTTGGAAGACAACAATATAAGAGTTGAATATCTCCCTCGGTCATTGACCATTTTTCGCCATTGTCTACTATTGTCATCGCCAACCATCTATGTTTCCTGCCACCACCATCTATAATTAATTAAATTATGATTCCAAATCTCTTTAGACAATTTCATTTTAAATTTTAGAATCATATCATTTCTCTAAGATTTTAAAACACAGATTATATCATGCTTCCAAAACTCGGCAAAGGAAACCTAAGAAACTTCATGCAGATGAATGGTAAAATTGTGAAATTGTGAAACTCATAACAATCATGCTATAGTTACATTACTTACACCATTATATAAAAAAGATACACTAACATTTTGATATTTCATACTGACACAAAATGCTAGTGGAATTAAAAAAAATACAAAATGAAGACGCACATACAAATTTTGAGGTGAAAATAGGAACCAACTCATAAAATAGGAACCCCAAGCCGTGACAAAAAAAGATGGTGTTATCCGACCCGCTTACCCGAATAAAAGATGTGGAGTATTTGAAGTTGCTAAACCTAATCTGAGTTCTCTTCACAGTGAGAGGATAAAGGGAGCTTGAATCGCAAGGAAACATCGAGATGGAGAGGGAGAAATCGAGCCGAAAAGAGCGAGAATCAACGAAGGAAAGGGAGCACAAGCATCGAAGCTCCAAGGAAAAGTACAGAGAACCCACCAGCGACGAAGACGATCATCGACACCACAACCGTTATCGCTCAAAGCACCACGGCGGCGATGACGATGGGGACCGCCACAGATCTGAGAATCGCCACCGCCGGTATTCCGAGGAGGATGCCTTCGATCGGGAGAGATCGGTTGAGCGTCGGAGGAGCGAGAGAGAGGGAAGCCGAGACCGATACAAGCGGGAGAGATCTCCAGAGCGGGAAGTTCAGAGAGAGGAATCTGTGGAGAGGCGGCATTTGAGCAAGAGGAAAGAGAGAGGAGACAGTGAGGATAGAAAAGATGGGACTGAGAAGAGATTTAGGGTTTCAGAGGGCAAGAATGAGAACGGAGTAGAGAAGGAAGATAGAAGGGAGAAGAGGAGGTTTGATGACAGTGAGGTTAAGGATAGAGAAGACACTCAAGAGAGGAGAGAACGGAAGAGATTTGTGGATAAAATGAAAGAGGATGATACTGGAGTTGACAATGAAAGGGGGTTCCAACAAAATACTGTTAAGAAAGAGGAGCCAGCTGATGCTCATCATGTTGATTCCATTGCCAGTGTGAGCTTCTTCTTCATTCATACACTTACCAATGAGGCTCAACAGTTCCTTTAAAACACTTATCATAAAATGTCATTTCTTAGTGATAATTATGTTTGCCCCCTCTGCTTTTATCTCATTTCTTCTGTACTATACGATTGG